TAATATTTACTTTTTTAGTTTCATCTAAAACGAAAAAAAAAAAAAAAAAGGAAAAAAAGAAAAAAGGAAAACACATATTTGTGGTGTGGTTATGACCACTAATTTATTTATTAAGATTACTAAAATTGTATTAAAAGAATACTGATTGTGTTTGATTTAATTGTTAAAATAACTAATCCTAATCTTAATCTTAACTATATGGTAGTGGATGATAGTTAGCTTGATAACGGAAGATGAATAACAGAATGTGGATAATGATATAATATATAATAGATTTGATTAATATAATTATTTGGTTATATAATAGTTAACACTTGTTATTCAATATTAATTAATAAAGACATATTTAAAGACAATGAAATGTATTTTTTCTTTTTATATTTTTTATTATTAAAATTATTATTTTAATAAAAATAATAAGAAGAAAATAAATAAATAAAATAAATTATAATAGTATAATCACACACTAATTTCTATCTTTAACAAAGAAAAATTTATATTATTTTTAAATAAAGCACAAAATTTTAATCTTTTCATCTAATTAGCAAATTTTTTTATTAAGTTAATATATTTTTTATGACAAATTAATGTAAAAATAAAAATATAATAACTACTTAATGTTATTAAAGATAAAAAAAATAAAGTTGAAATTAATTAAATAAGTACTAATTAAAAATTATGGTTAAAAATTAAAAAATTAAAAAAGATAAATTTGTTAATAAAATTAAAAAATTTCAATTTACTAGTAGTTTGATATAAAAAGCTACTGTAAGTAATTTTTTTAATCCATTAGCGGTTTAAATTCTAATAGCTATCTATCAATCTCAAACTCCAAAATATTTTAGTTGTTTGAATAAAACTGTTAATCACTAATCACTGCTCTTAATAAACCAATATACTAAGGGCATGTTTGGTACAATAGTTAAAATTCAACGAATAACAGATAGCAGGTAGCGGATTGCGGTAGCGGGTAATGGATAACGGATGGCAGTTAGCGGATAACAGATGGCGGATGACAAAAAGTGAGTAGCGGATGGTAAATAACGGATTCAATAAATATAACTGTTTGGCTATATAATAGTTAACGGTTGTTATTTAACATTAAATGACTAATAAGGATATGTTTAAAAACAAACAAGTGTATTTTTTAAAATATTTTTATTTTTTATTATTAAAATTATTAATTTTATAAAAATAATAATAATAAATAAATAAAATTAATTATAATAACATAATTGCACCCTCATTTTTATTTTTAAAAAAGAAAAAATTATATTATTTTTAAATAAAAAATTAATCATTTTGTCTAATTAACAAATTTTGTTTTTTAAGATAATATATTTTTAAATTATAAATTAATGTATAAAAAAATATTATAATCACTTAATGTTATTAAAGGTAAAAAAAAAATAGAAATTTATTAAATAATCATTAATTAAAAAATGTGATGACAAATTAAAAAATTAAAATGGATAAATTTGTCAATAAAATTAAAAAATTTTAATCCACTAGCAATTTAGTACAAAAAATTACATAAACTAGTTTTTTCAATCCGTTACCAATTTGGATCATAACCATTATCCATTAATTTCAAACCACTAAATAAAAATTTTACCAAATACTTTATTTATAATTATTTCGAAATATATAAATTTACCAAATACATATATTTAACGATTTAGGTAAAACTATTTAACGATTTAGGTAAAACTATTTACCGTTACCCCAAAATTGCTATACCAAACGGACCATAAATAAGCCTTATATAAAATTACCGTAATAACAAAATTCTTTCCAAAATTCTTAAATAAATACATATTGTACTTTAAAAAAATTTCAATAAATACTTAATGGGTTTTAAAAAATCCTTTAACAAATACCTATTCGGCTTTCTAAAAAAAGTTCATTAAAGAGTAATTTAACTATAATATATCCTACCTTAATTGAATTTGACTTCTTATTAATTTTATTTATAGTTTTTTTTTA